AATCGCCTCACTTCTCCGGCACAATTTCCAGGAACAGCCATGACAACCGTTGGCCCTGTTCCCCTTTGTCTATGTGGCGCCTTTACGGACATGCACGTTTCGCTAAGTTGTTCTTATTACGTTTGGGTCATTTTCATATCGAACGTTAAAAAAAAAAAAAAATCATAAGGTTAGGCTTTTTGTGATTACAGTTTTATGAGTTTTAGGATTTAATATCCTGATTAGTCTCTTATAATCTGGACTTTTTCTTTTTTTTTTTTTGCTTATTTCCACTCCTTAGAAGACTGGCATCTGTCTCTGGTGTTTTCTGCTTCAGAGCAATCTCTCTTAATAGAGAGTGATGGACTCTTCTGTGCTTTGTAATGACCTGGTAATCATTTCCAGATTGACTGAAATTAAAAATAGCTTCTTGGAGATCGTGTCGTTCCTCCTTGTTCCACGCCGATGTGAAATCTCAGGAGCAGCAAACCGCCTTGCACTTTTGTTTTTTTTTTTTTTACAGACACACTGAGGACAATTGAATCAATGCGCTTGTTTAGCGCCATCTGACTTCCTGCATCTGACTTCCGCCACTGGACTAACTATACCCACTTAGTCCAGTGGCGTATAGTTGGAGATTTCCCACAGCGCGTCTGAGGTTTTTATAAGTCATTTTTTTCAAATACAACTTATGTGCTCGTGTCCTTAAGTTGATTGACTGATAAAATAATTATGCCCCAAATTGCAGAGGAAAAACCTTGAGGTGGCTGTCATGTTGTACAGGTGCAGAGTAATGAAAGGTTCAATCACAGTGAGATGATACAGTCAGATGTGTGTCTGAGACTGAATAAAGACCCTTGCAGACACATAGAGAAACACCAGTGGACGTCCAGCTTGGGTCAGATTTTTAGATCTGCGTGAGGCCGGATGGTTGTTTTGTGAACCTTACTTTGGTGGAAACATCATTCGGCCGCTGTGAAACTCTGTCAAGTGCTGGCAGCGCTGTCCGATGAGTCCCAGAGGCTTCCTCTGCTTTCGTTAACTCTGTGTCGGGGCTGACTGTCAGGAGCTCCAGGAGCTCCGGCTCTGCAGGTCTGAGGCCTAAACATGTTCCCCATCGAGTGGAGTGGGAACTCCTTGTAAATTGAATTCATGCACACCAGAGGACCGAAATACACTGACTCATCCATCTGGAGATTCACTTAATCAATAATAATAATAATAATAATAATAATAATAATAATAATATCTGAAACCAAGACAAACGTGGAAAATAGTTCTCCCTTTAAAATGAGCCATTTCCTTTGAACAAACCCGTCATTATGATTTTGTTCTTATTTATTTGTGCATTTCTTCACGTATTGTCTTTAGTTGTTTTTTTTTTAACAAAAGTTAGTCAATGCGCCTAAAACACTTTACGCACACGAACAGTGCACATTATATGCATTATTGATTTATGCACGTCATTGTTTGTTACATAACACTCCCCCCCCCCCCCCCCCCACATGCCCCCGGATTGCGAACCAGAGAAGCAAGAG